CTTAATTAGTGTGCCATTCAGCTATGATCAGTCACGCTTAAATACACCACATTTACTATGATGATTAGCATTGTACTTAATGGTGGTGAATTTAATGTTACTGCTCATCAATTTCAGTTACCAAAAAAGTCCAGCTTAGCTGCATGGTGGAGCGACTCACACACTGATTTTGTTTTTCTTTCATCGGATTAATTATTGGTCAACAAATACAAGTGCCAGTGGCTGCATTTGGAAAAGAAAAAACAGCTCAAAGCATATTAATGGCTCCGCAGCCATCTTTAGCAGTTAATCACTAATGAGTATGTCAAATGAAATGGAATGAATTATTTTTCAAAGGATATGAGCTTCAGAGCCGTGACTGATCGTCATTTTGTACAGGCTTTCATTCATAACAGAAAAGGCCCAGGTCTGGTCTTGATTTTAGGTGGCAGGAATGGAGAGGAGATACTCGAGTGAGGTTTAACCCCAGTCTGCAGACCCTGGCTCCCTGGCCAGCCATACAGCGTGAGCATTAATACTGCTCTCCAACAATGCCTGATTTATCCCCAGGCCACCAGGAGCCAGTGGTCTCCATTTCAACCCCCATCCAGAAGCAGGGTGGTCTTGCCTTGGCCACCACTGGCGTCATAGTCCTGCCTTAAATGGCTTTACCAATTCCAGGTGTTTCACGTCTCCTTGGGGTCACAAGGAGCGTCTGCCAGTCATTTATATTCCCAAGTTTCGTCTCCTTGTATTATTTTCTACAACAGTTGACCCCAAACACTACTCTAAGATCACTTTTCTTTTACAGTAAGGTCCCTATGACATGGCCTGGTGGCTAATTAGATAGTATTGATGTGTCACAGTTCCAGATTTGCAGTTTGAATCCTGCCCTCCTCCCCTTGCGTAGGATATACCAATATATTTTTACTTAATATTGCCGATAACCTGGTAACTTTGGGGCCACTTGCCAAGCCAGGGTGGGGGGCTGGGACTTGCTGACCTTGTTGGCACAGACTAGCAAAATGATGTTACATTGTTTTTAATTCTGTGGTCAACGAAAGATCGACCTGCTGGCCTCATTTAAGAATGAATTATAAACACAGGGGGCCATATCACCGGCCGAGACCTCTTAGGTGGGGAATGAGCTGAGGAAATCCCTCGTCCACCACCAGAGAAAATGGCTGATTATGTAATGCAATCATCTCCATTGTATCGGCCAAAAATTACACATCAGACTAATGCCGATATCTTGATTTTTATTGGCCGATACCCTTAGGTTAACGGAAACGTGCATCTCTGCATATGAGTGTGCAGTTTGCATGGTTTCTCTTCTGCTGCACAGGTTTCTTTCACATACCCTAGTTTCCTCCTGCAGTCCAAAGACATGCAACTTTTGAAATGGCGTTTCTAAGTTGCCCATAGTGTGTGACTGTGTGGGAGCCTTCATGCATGTCATGTGCCCTGCGGGTGACTGGCCTCCTATCGAGGCTGAACCCCTGCCTCCTGCCTCCTGCAGACTCGCAGTGAGTCACACTGGTGTCTCTAATTTGCCCTTAGTGTGTGTGTATGGACTGAGATGAATGAGATCCAGATCTTTTATGATGATGTGCTGGATAAGCAGCTGGAAAATGGACGGAAACCATGGCAGTGAAACCTCTTGCTGGAGGTCGACGGGAAGAAGCAGGCTGCCCCTTCGTGTGACCCTTTGCTACCAGAAGCTGGGTGTTGAGGACCAGGATGTCAACATCACCATTTATTTAATTAACAGACACCTTCATCCACACTGACGTATAATTAGGGTAGCAGGGTCAGCCAGCCTCTGGAGCAACTGGGGTTAAGTGACTGGGATTAAGGGCCTTGCTGAAGGGCCCAACCATGAAATCAAGCTGCTGATCCGGGGATTTGAACTGGCAGCCTTCCGACGATGAGCACAGCATTCTAACCCACACGTCACCCCAACCCCCAGGATGCTGCAGTTTGCAGGGTGACCCAGCCGCTCGGGAGGGACGCGCGGAAGGAAAGCCGACACCTCTCCTTCTCCGATTAGACATGGCTGTTTGACCGCTGTACCCGGAAGCCGCAGATCATGATCAGTCTTTTTTTTCGTAGCAGAGTGTAAACAGGGGAAAGGGCTACATAGGGTCAGATGGGCAGCTTATGGGAGGTGAGAGTGAGAGGTGACAGGCGGCTGGGGGGCCGGGGGCCGGCGTCTTGTTTACTTAGGTGCTGTGAAGACGGCCTGCAGGGAGACGGTCATGGGGGGCTTTCTGGGTGGCCCGTGTTGGGTTTTTTTTTTTGGCTGTTCCTCCCTCCCCAGGCACAATGAGAGCTGCCCCTAACTCACCATTGTCATCTCCGCACCAGCAAATTAAGGATAATATGCGTTTACTGGGCAACTATATAAATAGTGTACAATTCAGGAAAAGGCCTGTCATAAGCGCAGTGACTTACCTCGTTCGCTTGCTAGCTTAATGACCCACAGTTAACATAGTAAGACGACTGTGTGCGAATTCTTTACAGCCCCACTTGAAAGATGACTGAATGGCTTTAGTGCAGCGAGGTTTTACAGGACTTCAAGGTTTAAGACCTTTCATTTCTTTTATTCCAAACACAGGCAATCCAAACACACCACATTTTGAGTGGAACCAGCAATGTAAACTTAGATGTAAACTTAATTAAGATGCGATCACAGAATAAACTTATTTATTTAAAGGTATGAAAGTGGCAGGGGTGGAGGTAGTTAAGGCACATCCTAATGTTAATTCAAATTAGCTCCGTCCACCCAGTCACCCCCCGTCCACCCAGTCACCCCCCGTCCACCCAGTCATCCCCCGTCCACCCAGTCATCCCCCATCCACCTACCCTATACAGGTACAGTGATCTCTGGCAGCACAAGGAGTAAAATACAATGGCATGTCTCTGGACTGGAAGGGGATACTGGAGCACCTGGAGAGAGCCCAGCAACATGAATAACATGCCAACTCCACACACACAGACACACACATACACACACAGCAAGGGGGGGGGGGGAATTCAAATCCTTCAACCCTGCAGACGTGAGGCAACAGTGACACACAACAAGCCACCATGATGCCCCAAAATCAATATCATATATAATGTAAATGACATTCAAAACCTAAAATAAGAGGTGTTAGCTGAATTACATTCAAAACACTTATTTATTTATATATATATATATATATATATATATATGTGTGTGTGTGTGTGTGTGTGTGTGTGTGTATGTGTGTATATATATATATATACACACACACACACACACACACACACACACACACATATACATGTATATATAAAAAAAAAATTGTGTGCAATAAGGTGTGCCACTACAAATATTACGTTTGAATTAGGGGAGCAATATGGGCTCTATCTCAGCTTCATAATGGCACCATTAAAGGAGAGACACAGGTGCGCGTTCTCATTACGATCAATGAAATAGGAAAAAAAGGCTCTTTCAAGGATTTTTAGTTCCTAATACGCCAAGACACAGCTTATCAACCTGCACATGTGGCGGCCAGGTAAAGGATTCAATCACACATCCCACCGGCGCTAACACAGGGCCAGTGTCTGGCAGGTGAGGCCGGAGCCTGAAGCATATCATCACCTCCTTCATAGCTCTATAATCCATGATCACCTGCACTTATCTCTTATGAACCAAAGCATCACAGCCCTGATGGTGTGTCTAACATTCTGTCCTTCATGTCAAGGGGGGGGGGGCAGGGGGTTCATCAAATACCTATGAAATGCTGATGGATAATGAACAGTCCCCCGGGGGATCAATACAGTGATACCTTATTTAATGCATAAAAACATACATACACATATTGTGTATCGGAGTTTATTTTAATAGAGGACATTCACTGTGAAGTAATTTGGTGCAATTTAATGCATTATTTCATTCATCTGTTCTGTATCTTAGCAGAATGACAAAAAAAATAACTTTTTTGTGCATAACACACACTGGAAATTAATAAATATTCCATGTCAGTACGCCGCGCAAAAGCCAAAGGCTTCCCAAGGTCTCAGGAAAGGTATTCACCAGGTGTCCATACTGGGCCCCATAAATATCAGCCAGATTAGGCAGGTTCTGAAAGGCAGCAGAAAGGGCTGAGCGTGCGCTCTGCAGGCCCTGCTGCCCAGGGCACCCAGGCACGGGGGCTGCCAGGCAGCTCACGGCGGCCTGTGCTGAGAGACAATCCAGACCTTTAGAATGGGAAGAGCTTAGTGCTTCTCAGATTATACTGCAAACATTAAGAAAAGCATGCGTCAAATGGAGAGTTGAAGTAAGTAAGTTAAAAGTTAAAGTAAGGCTAATACATAGCTTAACCAACCCCCGAGAGTGCACTATTACAAGAAATAAGATGTCTGTTGCAAAAAAAAAGAAAAAGGATCAGGATTATAAGTTTAACTAAAGAGAGAGAAAAAAAAAAACACAAATGCACAAGTGACCTAGGAACGGCATACCACAGTACAGTCTAAATGAAATAACCAGATCTGGGATGAAGCCATTCTGAGAACAGGCAGCCATCCACAGGGACGCATACAGATAAAAGGCAACATAAAAGTGTCATAGAACTTCCGTGAGTCAAATGCAGTTACGGTAAGCTTTAAAGACCCTTCAGAATGAGCTGGCAGCCAGATTATCAATGAAATACGGCCAAGAGACTGGAGGCAAGGAAGCAAGGCATGTTTGCAGCCTTGGGGCTTAGTATCGCCAATCAGCCTCCTGAGCCTATTAAAATCAGGGTAGCAGGGGAATGATGGGAAATGAGCAGTAATATTGGCTTTGGCAATGTGGTTTTCTTCCATGATTGTTGCAACACTCCTTGCATTGACTTTCATGAAAAGCTAACCAGCCTTTGTCTATTCAAGGGCACAATCTTTCCATTAATGGTAACAAGGGTGCTGCGGGGCTATTCTGCAATCCATCAGTCAACGCCTGACCCCCCCACCCCGCCAATCCACACATCAAGCACAAGCACACAGAGGTTACTTACCGAGAAGTCTTTCAGCACTTTCTCGTAGGACAGGTGGACAGCCCCACCATGAGCGTGGCTGGGGGACAGGTGGAAGCTGTAGCCCCCTTTCTGGTCACCTCCAACCAAGACCAGGTGGAGGTCCTGCACATATTTCTCCCTCTGCATCTCCAGCTCCTGGGCCTCCCGGGTCACATCCTCTTCAGACACTGCGCACAAAGACACCGAATTCACTTCCGGGCCTTATATCTTTCACCGGGATAGATCAACAAATTTAATCCAAATCATAAGAATCTGTCAAAAAAGGCAGTCAGTTAATATTGTCATTGTACTGGACAGACTGAAAGCTGTTTTGTTGGTCCGCCTGAGGGACACTGTAATTAGTAGAAAGACACTGTAACATACTCTAAAACAGATGCAAGGACTTGGACATGAGTGGAAGAGTTACTGTTAGTCACGTTTGCAGCATTAGCTGTGCTTGATGCATCTCCTGAGCTTCACAGGTCAGGCACAGGAGGACACAGGAAGCGACAGCAATTCTGCAGCACAAGATCTCCCAATGAGGTGCCACAGCACACCTACCCAATTCTCTACATTTTAGAATTATTTTGAAGACATAAAAACTATAAAATATCGTACTGTATACGTAAGCCCAAATTATCAAAAGATCCCCTGGGAGCCTTTTCCAGCTGTCCTGAAGGAGATCCTACATAAATGCTGAGCATTCATTGGCTGCTCTTCCTTCATTCTCTGGTCAAACTCCTCCAAAACCATTTGCACCAGTCAGGTGGCCAGGTCATGTGATGCGGCACTATCACTCCACCCCGTAGCTGGCTTGGCGTGTCCAAACTTTGGACTGGTACTGTACATCTTATTCCCAGCCGAGCACGGACAGTATCTGGACTTCACAGGTGGATCATTGTGAGTGTGTGAACAGTCACTGGGAGGAGAAGGAGCCTTCGGTCCTTCACAAATGACAGCCTTACACAGCACCAGAGAAGTGATGCGATGGGTATGGGCATTCACCGGCACGGGCAATTCACCGGCACGGGCAATTCACCGGCACGGGCAATTCACCGGCACGGGCAATTCACCGGCACGGGCAATTCACCGGCACGGGCAATTCACCGGCTAGTAGCAGCTACAGCCACAAACCAGAAAAAGTACAACTACTGCTAAGTGTGCAAAAGCTTTATTTACTATATAAACTACAGGACTGTGCAAAGAGTTGGGTAATTCAGGTCCATGTTTCAACCATCCAGTTGAGCATGAAGAGTCACAGTCACAGAGTACTCAACTGGTTGGTTGAAACAAAATCTTGGTCTGGATTTTTACTCTCTGGACCTGAATTACCCAACTCTGACTGTGCTAAAGTTTTAGGTGACCAAAATATGTTTTAAAGCTATTCATCTAAGAATGTGCATATTTAGTCAGGAAAAATGTCATTTAACATATACAAATAAATACTAACAAACAGTAACACAATTTTTAAAATATCCAGAAGAATTTTGGATATTTCAGTTGGATGGCTAAAAGAACACAGCTCCAGTTCCCAAACGTCTCCCCAAGGCACCCCAGCCATTCCGTGTATTTGTAAATTTCACAACCAGCTCAGTTACTTTAAAATTAATTATCTGGGTATACTGGATAGTAACTTCAAATACTGTGGCAATTTGAGGAGAAGATTTGAAATGGTAAGCTGACACACTACTACAGACATAAAAGCATAGTTTTAGACCAATATAAACATAATTTAAACATAGTTTTCTGTGGGGGACTTTTGCACAGTACTGTATATCTGCAAAAGATAACCACTATACAAATAGGCAAGTAATATGAGCGTCAGCAGGGGGAATACTGCTGCCATTCTAAACTTCATGCTAACAATTTAAGGGGGTAAAATTATAGGAGGAATTAAAACAGGACAAACTTTCCCAGGCTCCCTGAAAACTCCAGGCCTCTCCACACGTACCTTCTCCACTCCAAGCAAACGTGCCATCGCACAGAACGACCACAAATCCAGCGCCAAGGTCGTCCGCCCAGTCTAACCTCAGAAAAAAGGGGCGGTCGGGCTCGGAGGCGACGCTGATCTTACGCACGCTGGTACTCATCCCCGTTGGCCGATGCGAGATCTGCAGAACATTAAACAGTTACAGGACATCTAAAGTAATTTTACAGCGCATTGCACCATAACATGTCAAATACAGCATAATAAATATGAATGCTTATCTACATTGGAACAGCAAATGACGGAGACAAAATAGAGTTGTGTCATCATCTGACTCAAAACGAAGCGATCCAAAGATATTGTATAAATTTAATACGGCCATAAAACTATGGAAATTTTCTTTTTAAATCATTTAGTGCGAACAATAGCATTGTAAGTAATGGAACAATGAATCAGACAATCAAGTAATTTCAGCGTTGGCTAGTAAACATAAAAGCAGATTACACAACACAACAGTTATCTGGCAGAACAAGACCCCTGCTCTTAGCAAGGCGTGCAGGAAACGTAACCGCTTACCGTAATCACTCCATCCAAGCAGGATGAGTAACACTACAATAATCATTAATACGACATTAATACCACATGATTATGTATTCCGGTAAGTTCTACTTTCCTGTGCATTACTGTATACCTTGTGTACGCATTGGATGCAATTCAAGCCCCAGTCCTCAGGATTCTTGTTGGGTGAATAACTGCACAGTATGAGGCAGGTAATGAGTTTTGCTTGCAAAGGAAGCTCATGGTCTCTTAAAATCACCAGGAAAGCTCTCTGGGTGTTTGCAGTGGCCCACCATGGGAGAACCACCAGGGAGATGGGCCACTACGGGAAGCAGGCTGCACCACCCCAGCAGTGATCTCACTTAGCAAAGAACTTTTCATTACTCAGGTAGAATTTTGGACTGCTAAGGGTTTCTAGTAGAACACACCTGTATTGATCCCATTCACTCAATGATTAAAGATGACCACTACAGGCATTGCATCTAGGTCCACCTTCTGATTGAAGTAACATTTAACAGCTTTATTCATTCACCCATCTTCCATAACCATGAAGCCAGCACAGGGATGTGATGATAGGTGGCTCATTCCATTTTAATTCAACAAATGGCCTTCGCATGACCAAATTTGATTTTTTAAAATTTTGATTAAATTTCTGTGTGTGAATTACATGAACCTTCAAAAACCCACAGTACAGAAAAGGTATGGAAGCCCAGTTCTGCCAATGTAATAACAAATAAGATACCAATAGTCATTATAATGAGAAATGTTAGCAAAATAACGACTCTCAAAAAAGTTAAGAGTCATGTTGAAATAACTTATGTGGAAATGAGAAACTCTTGAAATGATGACTTAGCATGTCAAAATAATGACTTAAAAGTCAACATTTCAAGATAGCTAGTCATTATTTCGAGATACTAAGTTATTATTTCTGGATTTTTTTTCATCACGTTGGAGATGGGCTTCCATATAAAGGCGTTCCATTTGAAAGGATTTTTTTGTTTGTTTTTTAAATAAACAGAAAACATCTGAGCTCTACAATGCATGCATAATTCACATGCTAAATTTCATCGAAATAAAAAATGGTAATGTAAAAACTTTTTTGGAATTGTGTTGAATAATTATTTGTTAAATTATCATAAAACTGTTCTAAAAACATTTATGGGATTAGTTATGTTTTATGTTAAGCCACTAAACTTACCGCTATTATTTTAATAAAATGAGTACTGTTTCATGCGACTACATCATAATCAGTAAATGTGGAGAAAGATGTTGTGAAAGACTGAGTCAATTGTGCCAGTATGGAAAATTATACTGGTTTGATTCATTAAAGAAAAGCCACTTCATTTTACTTTCGCAAGTCCTGCAATACGACTGCATATTTCAGAAGACCCAGACAACAAATCAAGGTCATGCTAGCACAATGTCAGCACAGTCAAAACCAACCATACATGCTCTGAAAGAAATTTAACCCTTAACCTCATAAAATACAGCAGCCATTCATTAGGAACTTGAACATCTGCACGACGTATGAAGACCCCCCCCCCCCCCCCCAGGACACACACTAATGACAGACGGACACCCACATTAAACAAGCGATCGGCTGCCAGCAGAAGGGGCGAGAGAACGTGGCTGCTCTGTCCTTTAACGTGTCAAAGGGAGTCGCGAGAGATCAGCTGTGCATCCCAGCTGTTCCCAGCTATAGCACAGGCCCGAGCAGCGCAGGGCATCTTAAGCTCACTGCTGCATAGACCTACCAGCTGGATCGTGGAAAGACATCCACCACCTGTAACAGTCAGTTCAAAGAGTTTTTATGACAGCATTAACAGATACACAGAGAGCACTGACTTCAAGCATAGAAGGCATCTCATATCGGCATGCCAGGTGATGCACAGACCAGGTAAGCAAGAAAAGCAGATGTCTCAGTTGTGCTGAGGAGTTTAAAGACACATTTTTGCTAAAAGAGTTAGATGACATTAGTAAGTGGATAGGTGTCTTTTACCATTAATCTGTACCTAATGGGATTAATGTGTTACATTTTCAATACATCCATCATCTTTCATCTCTGCTTGTTCTTCATCCAAGTAGCAAGACCAACCCTCAGTCTCTGTCCATCACAAACCCCCGGCCACTGAACAATGTTGCTGGCACAACAATGAAAGGAAGGCAGACAATTGGGTGCTTGGCTGTGGATCAGTAGCAGAGCTGAGATCACACACCCCCACCCCTAACCCCACAACCACAGACACCATCCCAAACCTCAAGTCCGCCCGCCTGGGGCGGACACTTGTATCACTCTTGGGGGGGCTGCCTGTCACTCCAGGAACAGTGGGCTCCTTATCACCTAGGACCCATCAGGAGGACCTCCTTTAACGATAGCACTGCCATCAATGGATTGATTATCCTCAGCCCTCTGCACGTCTGACCAGAGGCAGACCCACAGGGACAGGGCCAATAAGTGTAGAGCCCGTCTCACTGGGCACATCTTGTCACCTTCTATAATGGGACGATGAAGTCAGAGCAGCGATAAGATGGTGGCCTTAAGGCTGACCCCCCCCCCCCCCCCGGCTCTGGCTCTGGCTCTGGCTCGGGCTCTGGCTCACACAGAAAACATCAAACCCATACAATGACTTCAACTCTCAAGGCAAATTTCTTCATGCATCAATTCTTAAAAGCACAGCCAAATTCAAACCAAGATGGGTGCACAATACTTGAATACACAAAAACCAGCCTGTTAAAAAAAATTGAGGAGAGAGAGAAAGGAGATTTGGAAACAAAATCTAATAGTCAATGAATTATATTGGCTAAAGGCATGCCTTCTCTCAAAGACCACTGCGTAAAAGATGCCTTTAATAGAGGGGCTATTGTGGTGATGGATATCTGAAAATGATGGGATTTATAACGTGATTATTGCTGTGATTTTACGGCTTTTCTCATTCGACTCAGGCTTCCCTTTACTAGTAATATGGCATATAAATAAGAGGTTAGCAGGCAAGGTAAAGTTTTTACGTGCACATCTAGTTTAAACCGCAGACAAGCCCCAACTCAGTGTGCCCCCTAAAATTAGCGGCTTCTCTAATAATACATCTAGCTGCTGTTCTGTGGAAGTATAATACAGAGTAAAATTAACACATGTTCAGCATTTGTAAACTATGACAGACCGCACAGAGAGAGAGAAAGCTAAACATCTGCCATCTGTTGAGATACATTACATTTAAAGAATCACTTTCATTTACATTGCTTAAACCTTTATGTTCCTTCTCAGTTAAAACACAGAGAAAGTCATTAAAAAAAGAATGCTTTTTGGTTAGCAGACGATTGGTAGAGAAATCCTTTTATTACATAATCACAGCTCAATATAGCCTACAGGCAAGGCAAAGCAATAAAATGTATACCTGTATAACATCAGTAACGCCTCTTCTGTCCGAGTATGCAATTCAGTGTCTAGTCCAGGCACTTGCTACCCCACAGCTAAACCAGTACAACTCTCAACTAGCAGGCCAGCAGTTAATGCTGCAAGACCACTCCAGATGACTAAAAAAAAAACTTGGCAGCAGATCTGATATTCATACAGCCTAAACTGCCTCTAGAGATGTAACGGTATGAAAATTGTATATCATGATTATCCATCCATCCATTTTCCAAACTGCTTACCTTCTGGGTCGCAGGGGGTCCGGAGCCTATCCCGGAAGCTACGGGCACGAGCCGGGAAACAACCCAGGACGGGGGGCAAGCCCATCGCAGTATCATGATTATAGTGACCAAAATTATCAGTTATCAGTATTATCACAGTATTGTTAACATGTGCTGAAAATGTTCAAAAATTTATACAAAAATCGAAATCATTTTAATGTTGAAAACATTAAAACAACAACATATAAAAACCATATCAAATGTGCATTAACATGTCACTGCCTTCCTCCATGTTTACAATGACACAAAACAAGCCCACACTGAATACTGTGCCTGCACACCTGGAGACTCTTGCTAACTTTGGTTGATGCTCTAGTATTTCATGTGTTTTTCCAGAAAGCGATAATCAACCACTGTTTTAATAATAATTTAAATTTGAAACCGTAATACTATGGATAGGCCCCTATCTCCATCAAAAGGCTCATCAAGACCTATGTCCATCACATGAGAAGTGTCACTCCAGATGGGTCTCTCGTGTGGTTCCCAGGTGGTGGAATGAGCAGCAGAACCGCATCCTGCCATCAGACTCCACCTGCCAGAAACCCCTTAAGACCCACGTTCCATGAATTCCTCAACCTGATGCCTCTTGATGTTCCCTGAATGTTAAGCTAGCCTTTTGGTCCCTGAATAGTCTTATAAGGTTCTAACTTTGTTAGAAGATGTCGTGTAGCTCCTGCTCCAATACTGCTTACACTTGCACCTGAGCATTAATTGGAAACTCAGCCTAGCTGCTCCTATGCCAAGTCGACTCCTTGACAGTATAAATATTTACAATGTGCGATTGACCTCCCTTGCACGTCATTTTGGACAAAAGCATCTGCTAATTATGTAATTGTATATGTAAAACTTCTGAATGATTTGTTTCACAAAGACAAATTCATTTTACTTATCTAAGAAAACAGTGACAGTACCTTTACTTGCCAAAAAATTTTAAAAATAATTTTCATTTTATACCAAACACATCACAGAAAAGCAGCCCCATCTTCTAGTAAAGTTTGTCTGATATTTTTCTTGGCAGATAAACCGCTCTGCTGAATACATTTGGCTAGAGAAATGCTGTGATTTCCTTCTGTCCATATGACACTCCGTTTGTCTACATCAATCACTCATACTGCTTCTCCGTCAAGCCTCTGTATTAAAACAAAGGCTGTCTGATTCCCCTTTGTTCATATAACCACATGGCACACATCTCCCTCTCACACTGCTATGACGGTATGGATCATTGGCAAAAAAAAAAAGCCCATTTAAGCCATGATCCAAAAAAAAAAGAACTCTCTTTTCACATCTACCAGAGGAAGCCACATTCTCATTAGGCAAGACACTAGTGTAATCCTGGCTTCCCCCCTTTGCTAACCAGGATGGATGTGAGTCACGCACAGTGGACAGTTCATCTCTTTACGGCACTCTGAACAATTTCCTTTGATGGTGAGGGCTTGGGATGAAATTCATAGATGATTATCTTCAGTTCTGAGAACAAATGTCACTAAAAGGTTTTAAGGTGCACATAATCCTTTGTTTCCAGGGATAGAGAGACAGCTCAATTTAGAACCAAGCATCCATCCATTTTCTACCGACGTATCCTGGTCAGGGTCAGGGGGGGGGAGCCTGGGCCACAAAATGGAGGGGGGAGGGCACATAAATTCCACACACACAGCAAAGTGAGATTCAAATCCCCAATCCTGGAGTTGTGAGGCCACAATGGTACCTGAAGAGTCAATATGCTACCATAGAACCAAACAGTCAAGGTTGTTTGAAGTTGAACTTTTCTAAACCAATACTCCCCAATTATTCTTCCCTGAGTGGACAAATTAAGGATTTTGCCTGATGGTGATGCTGTCTTACCTAAATGCACTGCTGCATGTGGCAAGCATTGTACTCTCCCTATAGGGGACCCCTGGTGTACGCTATATGACAAAAGAATAAGATTAAAAAATAAATAAAAACTATTTTACTAACTAATGTTAAGCAAAGAATATAATCAGAATTCTTGGCAAGGTTCCATGTCAACCTAACCATTCATGTGGTCTTTTGCAGCCATAGTATTTTTCCAAATGCATTGCTCAAGATACCATGTCTCATATCTCTTCTGATATAGACAGTATATCAATTCTTCAGGATGCAATAATTAGGCCATTCACCAGAATTCAATATTTATAGTACAATGCACAGTCTTGTGGTGGTATTGCATATCTGTATGCCCTAACTTAGTGTTTATGAGCTTTATGTGTATCAGCTCATATGTAAAGCCAGTAAATACAACTTTTTCACTACTGAGTGATATGCTTTAAATTTATTTAAAGTAGCTTCTCTGTAACATAGGCTGAATTAGGACAGGGTTTCCGACTCTCACGCCTCTGGCATGACACTCATGCTGTCACACTCTCACACAAGAATTTAGGGCAAATCTATATTATTCCATTGGAAACCTAAAATTAGCTATATCAAAAGCACTGGAGTAGTTTGCAAACCCAACAGACTGTTTACAAGGTAATAAAAGTGTTACATACGTGTAAATGCGTGTGCAGACGTGTCTCCAATTGAAAAGCTCACTCCAGCTAGCTGACCAGAGTTGGCAACCCTGTTACGATGTACTATAAAGATGCTTGTGGATACAGGCCATCGTTGTCATACCATACACTATTACAACGGCAGGATAGAGACGCGAAGCCGCACAGCAGGACTGTGGGAACTGTCCCACCTTAGGTATTAAGTGATGCACAGTTCAGTTAGTTTTTGCCGCCGTGCTTGGATTTTTTAGGCAGCTGGATTTAAATCCTTGGTAATAGTTAAATACATAAAAAATTATGTGCTTTTATGAATACACTGCGTCCTAATGGTATGGAAACCACGCATTTGTGTTTTGCAAGTATTCTTGTGCCCGACTTAGTTTTATGTGTATAATTGCTGTTACATTTATACGAGCACTGCATTTAGTTCATTTCCAACTACGTTATATTTCAGTTCAAGTGGACGTATAGAGTGCGGTTTGGTAACGTGTTTTGTTATAAAACGTCACTAATATATTTATTCTGCAAACTAGTTGAACTTGGAAAACACACTAATATTGATAACTACATAAACAGATGGAGATGAACGTTAATAACTCGCTGTAGACAGGACTATGCTTGCCAAAATAGATAGTTACCAAACTCGATGTGCTGAACACCGCTACTTGATTTTAAGAGAGTGTGGGAACCTATAAGGCGTTAAACTTTACATGGGATAAACGAAAAGCTAGCAGCCACCAGACCATGGGTTTAAATGGACAGAGAACCTACCTCAGCTATTCAGCTTCCGCGTTGTTCCATCAAGTACAAACGGACTGTTTGAGGAAAAAATGAACCAATCAAACGTCCACTACGAGATTGGGCAGTGTCCTATCAAATTCATCCGCAACCAAATCGAATGGTCCAATCACGCCCGCTCCGTAAACCTCATCCCATACGTCATTTCCTTTCTCGTAACGGAAGGGTGATGTGGCTATAAGAAAATTGTGAAAATGGTAAGTGAAAGGTGTTCATAACTCTCCATTAGCTGACAGTAATGACCACAAGAATAACGCGTAACACTTGAGTTGTAGCTTACTTTAACATTGCTGTAAAGTTTAAGATACTACCATAATGATCAACTATAGCAGATGCAGTCACTTGGCTAATGTATACGCTGTGCTAAAATGCAACATACATGGTTCTTCTAAAGGAATGTCGTTCTACTTATCGTGTAATAAACACCAGTGTTACTCGTTATTGCACTTGTTTTTTATTTTTACAGCCGCTAATAATTATAGGTAGCTGGTCACCTATATCGATCAAAATTAATGTTATGGCTTCATTGCCACCATGATACGGAATTTTGCACATAGTACCACAGAAGCACCATTTAAGATCTTGATCGAATTCCTCAGATGCAACATGTTAGTTATTTTTATTGCATTTTAGGCGGTTATTTTACTTACAGTGCCTCTAACTGTATTCGATTATAATTAAAACATGCCATGTTGCAGATCGTGTATTGCATTGACATTAAGTGGCGGTATTATAAAGACTACAAAATCTGGCAGTTACACGGACTGCTTATCAAATATGTTTTGACAGTTTTTACTCCTTTTAAAAAAAAATTGGTATCTTCCATATTTTTTTACATTCTAATTGCAGGTTAGACGTAGTCTGTAGCACAACACAAAAGTACTGACTATTGTATTTATTTCAGTACCTGCGTTGAATTTAATTACTATTCATATACTTCTGGCTAGGTTTATATCAGAATAAAAATATTTGTCAAATAAGTTCACCCACACACATGCACAAACAGGGAATTTGTCTCCAGTTGTCAGGAAAGAGCCCTGTTCACAGTAGCCTGTTGAAGAAATGAGCATATAGTGGTTTGGCTGATTAATGATTTTAAATATTTATGAAATGTTGTGCATCAGTAATCATAAATTGTTCCATCTTTGATATATCTGATGCATATTTGATATCTCAGTGTTCAGAGCCTGTCAGATTTGTGCTGTGACCTTGCAGGAGGACCTCTGCTTGGGATTGAAGAAAGCTTTAGCACTGCGTGATACTAATTTGAATACAGTGGTACCTAGACCCACGAACAGTCCTGTTCAGGAACAAATCGGGTTACGAACCAGATGTTCAAAAAAATTTTGTACTGGTTCGCGAACCGTGTTTCAGGCTGCGAACACACAAACATCCCCAAAAGCGCCCTAAAGAACCACCTGAAACACAAAGAAGTGTACATTATGCCCAAGAATGGTTGTGGAATGTATAAAAAACTTGTTGTAGATGTATGTCTTTACTATATCTCTTCAGAGGTCGAATATCTGAAAATAATGTACAGTATAATAAAAAAAATCATATTTTCGAAGTTACTGTATTGTTTTTGACTGTTACTCAGTCTTTTAATGTTAATTGTTTAGTTTTTTTGGGGGATGTTTTGTGGTTCTTTTCTGTGTTTTGGCATCTATCGAGCGACCAGCCAGCCAACAAGCGTATGCTCAGTTGTACTGTTTTATTTAATTTAACATTATTTGTGTATAATTAAGGTTATTTTAATTTAAGTGTATATTCTTGGTCACAGAAAAAAATCAGTGTTTCTGAGGTTTGAACGAATTTGTATTTGCATTATTTTAAATGGGAAAAATTGATTCAGGTCGCAAACTTTTCGAGTCCTTGAACGAATTAAGTTTGTGGGCCGAGGTACCACTGTATTTTGATGATATGGATGTAGTGTCTTATGAACATGAGCCACTGTTTCAGGTTTTCCTGCTGTTTGTAGCATTAATTATTAATATATATTATATTAATATATATTAATATAATAAAAAGGGAGATGGGAAACAACTGTTACTGGCTGGCTTAATGGATCATTGCACTTTGTTTTGTGTTGAACCAGCAGATGTGTTCAATAGTCAGGTGCTTGTTAAACTGAGTGGAGCAAATGTGTCTCTCTTGGTTTTCATTCTTTAGCAAGGAAATGTGTGATACCTCTTTAAAACTAACCGAGTGCTGACTTGATTTCTCACTGCTGTTCTTTTGCAGTCTGCCATCTTTAATTTCCAGAGTCTCCTGACGGTCATCCTCCTCCTCATTTGTACGTGTGCTTACATCCGTTCCCTCGCTCCCAACCTGCTGGACAAAAACAAAACTGGGTATGAGTGTTTAGCAGCGAGCCAAAGTATGGTTGTAACTGATGAGTTTAAGGGCACAACTGCAGCCAAGGCCTTTCTATAATAAAATACTCCTTTACATTTAAATGCGACACATATAATTTTTGACGATCAGAAGAGTTTTTTTCCTGAGATGTCATCATTTTCACTCGATTAGTGTGTCAGAGGGAAATCCAAGACCCAGTGAACCCAGACATTTTGTTAATCAGCTGATGAACATAATGGGATACATTCTATAAGTCAGGGGTCTCCAACTCCGGTCCTGGAGAGCTACTATACAGTAGGTTTTCTATCATACCCGGCTTCTGATGAGCCACACCTGCTCCTGGTATTTACCTGAGAACAGCCTCAGTTTATTAGTGTCTAACGTCTCACAAAACATCCTGCCACTTCATAGTGAAGCACCTGTGTTAAGCGATTAGCAGATGATGACATCTTTTCTGAAGCTGAGAAGAACATTCTCCTACGGAGCTTTGCGCATTGGCAAGCCACTGTTGTAATTACTTTTTTCCCCTTTTCAAAATAGAGCTTTTGTTAAAGGCCTTTGAGGTAACAGGATGTTGCCACATGTTTGGAGGTCCAGCCGGACAACATGGAAACGAACAGAAATGACTTGTTCTCCAGCAGTTATCCTCCTTCTGAAAACAGACACAGATTTAGATTTTAACACATTGTTAGTTTAAGTGCTCTGTCTTTGCTGGGCAGAACTGTTCCCATATTCTGCTACATGTCAGCAATATGAACTGTGAGTGATGCTCTAATATATCACAAACCTAATGAACCATTAATTTGTTGTACGGGCACCAACAGAAAAGCAGTGAATTAACACTGATGGCCAAAAAATGTCACTGCTTGCAGTCCCTCACTATTATCCACCAATTAATCACATAGATTTGCACATGTATTATACACACACACTACTTATTGCACAACAGTAAATTATCAGAACGGGTTTCAGCCATGTGTAAATATTCTGCTGTGTTTCTAAGAAATACATCGCTATTAAATCTTCATTATCCATCCCTGATCCCCAGCCATATTCTTAGTTTATGCCACAAATATCTACAGTAATTCTCGGGAAGCATAGAGAATAAGGCTACCGTACACTGAATGGAACATCCGTACTTAAGGAATTTGCACACGGACACGTTCATTCTTGCGTCATTCTCCGAAGTCAATTCACAGTCACCCAAAGAGTCGGTGGAAGATGGGAACAGATCAAAAAGCCAGGCTATTTAATAATCAGCTGATTAACTTTAGGACGTATCTGCTGTATGCCACTTAAATGATCATTAGTGTGCAGTATTAAGACCCGTTGCCTTAAGTGCTAGTGTATATAATTGTGTTTAATTTAGTGAAATGGAGTGCAAACACCCTCTGACGAAAAAGATCACAGAGGAAATCCTAAGCTGTGTTTTAATAGCTTCCAAAGTCTTGCAGTAACATTAACCCTCAGAAATGTTTTCCAGTTCCCAGCAGGCATGGATGTTGTAAAGCATTTAAAGATTTATTAGTTGTTTATGTCTTTTATTTAGAGCAGACTGGGGTAGAATTATTTGAATTTTTTTCTTTTTTGTAAATCAACTACATGGAAAAGTTGGGTTTAAAATGAGAAAAGATGCCTTTAGCGTGTTTGTTTAGAAATGTGAAAGTTATGGGAATGGGCTTAATTAGAGGACACTTCCATTGTAATGATCCCTAGTCCATCCTCTTGTATTGTGTTATAGAGCCCTGTCCTCGTTTTCTTCTGGTCTTGGGATGTATCAGCACTCAGATGATTTAAGGCTGGTGTGGCTTCCCATACATTGGTCTGTTCGCATGTGCAGCTCCTACCTCCATACTGCACATCATCCAGACATTTTTATGGTCCCTAATTGGTAACAGCCACTTTTCCAGCTGTCAGTTTGTAAAACTTTACTGCTTGACTCTGTTTCCAGGATTCAGTTTGTGAAATGATAAGCATTGCTGTTCTTCTCTCGCTAATCGGATGACTCGCAGAATTTAATTAACGGGTTCTGCAAATAAATCTCCCTACTTTATTATTCCTGCAAAAATGGAGATCATAATGGCTTTATTGAGAACACTGTTAGAGTTTTGGATAGTAGTATGAGTGTATAGTTAAGACTGAGGTGTCTTTAGCTGTGTTTTTTTCTTTGGCTAAAATCTCCTCTCTTAAAAGCCAAAAACGAATGGGTAGTTTCAGAGGGATACTGTGAGTTAAGGGCATTTCTCTTATGGCATTAATGTCAGCTTCTCTTTAATCCCCTCTGGTCCTCCTCCCAGAGCCTCCATAAGTTAGAGGAGAGTGCCGTTTGGCTGTTCTTGTGCTTCACTGCCAACTTGCTGGATCAGGAATTGTTTCCCCACTGCTGGAGAACAGAGGCTCTTGTGTTTTATCGGATGTGTCCAGTTAATGTTCGCTGGGGCGCTAATCAATGGGGCGTTTCTCAGTGAGGCCCCGGTGCTGGCAGATGCTGCAGCTGGTCCATTGTCTGCCCGTAGAAAGGAGAGTGTCAATTCTGTAAAACGGATCAGCTGCTACACTGCGCCCTAGTGGCCTTGGTTCTTCATGCTCTTCCAGAGAGAGGCTTAGCATTTTTGTACGAGGACGAATAATGTGGTGATTTTACATTATGTCGGGGCAGTTAAATTTGGCTTTATCACACGTACACTCTCTGGCCCACTGTTAAAATCTTACAAGTTAAGAAAAAAACCCAAGAGCCATGGGAACCAAATAGCTCCTGGAGCTATAAAGGTGTATATATGGTTAAGACCTTAAATTGTAAATTTCTTTGGACTGATGCCTCTGCCAAGATGTTTTTCTTCTTCATAAAATCATGCCATGTAAAACCGTTAGTTTTTCCCTGCTGATTCCTTTGCATTTGCGCAGTGGCACGATACTTGCGGTTTGCAAATTTGCCTGCACCAGGATATAGTGGCGTTCATTTTTTAAATTCAGCCTCAGCAGCCAAAAGCCCGTTTGCACGTTTGTACTTAGACACTGCAAAAGTTTCTTTTGGGTGTTTTCCCAGGAGAGGTTACTCTTTAATATGCTAGTAATGACCCGGCTACGTTTTTGGAATGTTAAATTAGCGTATGGCTGTCACTAAGAGTAAGCAGTAATAAGGACACACATCTACTGTTTTATTATGTGACAAACACAACTTGTACAGTCAGGTCTAGTTTATTGTAGTGGCAGAATGTCCATGAAATCGGGAAGTCTACCCATCCATCCATCCATCCATCCATCTATTTTTCATAACCTCTTAGCCAGTGCAAGGTTCTAGTAACCTGAAGCCTATCCCACGAAACAGGCGACATAAAGGAGGCTCTCCTGACTTAATGGAGGACGAAATCAAAAAGTGTTTTAAAAGAATTTGGGGTCTTTATATAAATGTGCCTTTTCTCCAGATGCCTTTAACGTGTTTGTTTAGAAATGTGAAAGTTATGATAATTTGCTTAATTAGACGACACTTCCAGTGTAATGATACAGTCAAGTCTAGTTTGACTAGATTTCGGGCAGGAAATCCTAACATCAGAATAAGAGTGATGCGCTGCAGTAGCTACGGCCAGTGAATTCCTTCGTGTGTGTTTTGGGTAGGTGGCTGAAAATATGCTGCTGATGTGATGTTAACATTTCTTCTGCTCCTTTTCAGAATTCTGGGCATATTTTGGAAATGTGCAAGGATAGGTAAGCTTTATGAATGTCAAACTTTATTAGATTTTGCCTGGGATGTTTTTTATTGAGCCAAATCTGACTTGTCACATCTGTGCAAATTTATGATTTGTAGGAATTCAGACAAAATGCATCTTTTACTCCTGTGTAGCCCCATTTTGGTCCGCTCCAGTTTAGTATCCCAGTGCTTAGCTGGTCTGCCATCACTGGTATATCTTCCTAACCAGGAGTTCAGCTTGACTGTTGCGCCCCTGCCAGACTGGCCGATCGCACTGCTCGCTTTGGCTCAGCTGAGACAGCAGTGTGGTGCCAGAGGGAATTGCGTCTCCTCCTCAGTCTTAGCTGCGTACTCAAGTGGTCATGCAGTATAATTGCATTGTCAGATGTTTTAATCACTTGGTTAGAACTCCAGTTCAGAGAAGAGCACAGTCTTTGTGTGTTGGGTAGAGCAAATCCAGTATGGCTGAAACAGAGTATAGTGCAAAAGATACATACGCTATACTTAGCTAAATCTTTCTTCTGGTTTAGGGTATTTTGAAGTTTGCTGTGCAGTAGTCATTTAGTTTCTGATCCTGTCTGTGGGTAGGTGACCCTCTCCTGGGTTGCCAGGAATGCTTTTGCTCATCATATTTATTCTTTGGCTATGTTGTGTCTTTATTGCAGCTAGCAGTGTACTGATATGTCTGTAGTGGGGACACAGTCTCTAGGGTCATCCTGCTCCTATAGATCTTATCCATGTGATAATGTCAAGAAGCAAAGTCCTAGCCATATAGTTATAGTAGAATGTTTGGTAATGCTTTACATTAACGCACCTTCATAATGCATTCATAGAACATTCAGTGCACCTTCATAATGCATTCATAGAACATTCATAAGCAGTATGCAAGTATACCTTAACATCCTAACGTCCCTTAACAGCTTTAATATACATTAATGACAAACATTACATGATTATACAGTTATGTTTGTTATTATTATATAATGTTTGTTATTAATGTATATTACAGCTGCTAAGGGATGTTAGGATGTTAAGGTATACATACATGATGTTTTATGAATACTTAATGAATACATTATGAAGGTGTACTGAACCTTTTATGAATGCAATATAAAAGCATTATGAAGGTGCAGTTAATGTAAAGCGTTACCGAATATTTTCTTATGAACTTAATCTTCTTAAAGTAATAGTAGGTATTTTTCCTCCATTTTTTCAGTGAATGGTTTCATTCTTCTGGGCGATAAGCTAGTGGCTGTAGGTTTTCAGATCCTGGTGGCACTTTGCTGGACCTGTTTGGTTCTCTGTGTGTCCGTGTTGTGGTGGGGGGGGGTTCCAGCAGCCCGCCCTCTCACAGCTGTCGCCTGTCCTGTGTTACAGGTGAGCGGAAGAGCCCGTATGTGGCAGTCTGCTGCGTCATCATGGCCTTCAGCATTCTGTTCTCAGAGTAGCTCCTTCAGCAGAGGGGGTCAGCCAGGTTCCCCACAACAGTGGCAAGGCAGCACCACGGAGGGGGGCCTGGATTCCCAGTGATGGCGCCCTTTCCCAGTGATGGAGCCCTTTCTGGCTTCGACACACCGATTCGGCTCAAGAAGTCTGAGGCACAAACGTCATGTCATTCAACTCCCGTACCCCTAAGCCTTTCAGGCCGTGGGGAGGTCAGATTCCTTTACCCCCTACAGTGTTTCCTACTACATTTGTTTTCATCTGCTGCACGACTGGGATACTGAGATCCTGGGGCTTCACGTTCAGCCAAAAATCGCCGCTCGGACTCTCTCTCGATCGTCAGGAACATATAGCCTCTAAATGCAAAATTGGTGAAACTGGCAGGGTCATTCTGTCATGTGATATCACTGTATCACATTCTTGGGCAAGCAAATTTCACCAAAAAAATAAGTGCCACACAAGGATTGTTTGACCAAGAGCTTGATTACATCTAGATTTATTGTCTATTTCTGGAAAATGGAATTTGTACGTAAAGGAAAACGTTTGTTCTAGTGTTGTTTCCCTTAATTATTTCCAAGCGCAAACATTTCAGAACTTCATTCCTGCTGTTGAGCAAGGAATGTCAGTGTGAATGTGGGCCATTTATGTGGAACCTGAACAGATGCTCATAATGGCTTACTGTCTTGATTAATGCTGTCATTAGGTAACATTGGGAAACCTCACAATTTACAATGTGTTGATCTTGATCCGAGCTTTATTGAAAAGTGTAATCTGATGTTTCCTTAACCAAAATGATTAAAATTGGACTGGATTTGGTCATTTGTGCTTCTGGGCTATTTGTATTACAGTCATGCTGTAATAATTCATTTTACAGGTATAGCTGGCTAAATTCGTTATGAGTTATATGATGTTCACCTTTTTCAGCTGGAAACGGCAGTTCCTTGTTTATAGATTTTTGTATTTAATGTGCAAAGCCATTTTGAAACCAAAATGTGGAATAAAAAAATAACACTGCTATTTGCACAGTGGGTGATAAAATGTTTTGATGCTATTAAACTGTTTCATTCATGAACCTCCTATTAACTGATTGAATTTTTGTATTCTCTTGGCCATAAATGTATATATGCAATCTCGTAAATCTGTAAATTATGAAATCCTTCTCTGTTTGTTTTTGATAGCCAGAATGTTTGTGCAGTTCAATATTTAATAAACTGAACAGTCTTACCTTGGCAATTATCTTGGCTATTAAATGCTAGAGCTATGCTCACATAAATCTGTATAATATACTATTTTACCATGGTGTTATTCTGACAATTGTGACCAAAGGTACAGAGGAAAGTACTTAACCTAAAGGTCTGCAGTTTAAATAGGTTTTTTTACACAGGGATATCTAAAAAAAAAAAAAAGTAAAGACATTATGGCTGATTAATCTGATATTTAAGTAGATTTTCTGGCAAAGCTGTGGAGTTCTGTGTGTGTGTGTGTGTGTGTGTGTGCGCGCGTCTCTTTAAACTCGGGGTGTGATGGTACAGTTTTCCCACGGTTCAGTATGTGTAAGTTATTGGACCATGGTAACAGGATGGTTTCGGTGTCTTTAAGAAGCAAAAACATGACCCTTTAATTAAACAAAGAACTCTTAATTTTTCCATATATCAACTCAAAAAATGCCAGCCTGACTAACTAGGTCTGTGCTATGTGAAATCAAGCAGGAGAAAAACACTGAAATTAAAAGTGTTCAGTTTTGATGACCTATAGGTACTTTGCCTATTCTTAGTTAAATTTACAGTGTACATATGTACAGTACCTGTAGAGGCAGTATGAAAAGATTTATTTGACAAGAATATATACGAAGTTAAGCATATTGCTGTTAAAAATAAGCCACAGGCCATCACAACACAGTAATTGTAGATAATCGATATTACAAACTCCAAAAGCCAGGAGAGCACAGAAAGTTTTTATTGTAGCAGCCCCATATAAAGAGGGAAAATAAAACTTGTGGTGAGTGGTTGAGTCATTTTAATACATGGAATGGTTACATGCAAATGAAACACGCACATTTCACAGCAAACATTATGTTATGTTACGTTAAATTCACTCGTTCACATTTATTTACACCGTTTAAAGATAAGCAGCCGCACGGCGTCACATTATGTCTGCCAATTGCCCGCAGTCTGTGGGATCACTGCTCATAAAGCGTCTTTTCACTGAAACTACGTCAGTTATGTTTGAAGTATGCGGCAACCTTTAGCTAGGAGGTGGACAATTTACGTCGTCTGCTGTTGTATAATATCACATTTAAAATATAGCCCTCGGAAATAAGATTACCCCCATTTTTTAGATGCATTTTTGGGGAAAAAAAACACTGGGTTATTTTCACGCCAGTATGTATAGGAAAAAGATCATAATACCTCGGTTCAGATGTGCGTATTGAACCATTAGGGGCATACCAAATGGTTTGATAATATACCGTGCAGCGTTAATTAAAACCAAGGCCAAATCTGTCATTTTTATATAAGGTAGTAAATGCCTTTCCTAGACCTGACATTTCCCAATCAAGCGGACAGATACATTATGCCTCAGGATGATAAAGCACAATCGCAGGTTAAGTTTGAATTTCTCTATGAACGAATGTAACCATTTTGACATTTGACCTTGGACTCTCTGCACACAGTGTTGGGTGTGAAATCTTGAGTGAGGGTTGGGTCTGAATTGTCACATACGAATGATAATAGCTCACAGATTTCACGTCTGTCCAATTTACTGTTAGATTGAACTAAACTGTAAAATTGCAAAGGAACTAAAAGAAAATATCCAATATTTACAATGCAATATGCGATACAGTATAATTTTCTTTAAATGAATGGAAAAGGGTGACATCTAGCCCTAGAGAACATAAAAAACTTTGTATTTGTCACTTATGGAAGTCTTGTAACAATCTGCCTATACCAATGTCCAGAAATGCAGTTAATCTTTGCTCTATTATTTAAATGAGATGAATGGACTGGATGTTTTATTAACCACACTGACTTGCTGAAATCAAAAGCCTCCTATCACTATCCAGTACAAAATTGAATGAAAAATATATTTTTGGAAAAATATTGTTTCCGTTATTCTTTCGTCCTTCCATCCATGCAGTTTTTATAGCCGCTTACCCAGTATGCGTTCTGGGTGAGCCTGGAGCCTATCCCAGGTAGCAGAGGCCACGAGACACCGGTACCGGTCCTAGCCGATGGGACGCCCTAGGCGAGTATCACTGCCGGCGCCTCCTACCAAGGTAGAGTGAAACTGGCTGGCAAGTCGGCACCCCCCTCAGATGCTGGCGGCCGCATATGTCACCTATAGAACTGACTGGCCCTGGGACGTACCATGAACAGGATAAGGGGGTCATCACGCAGCAAAATCACACCGAGTAATTTAGAGACACTAATTCTCCTAAATGTATGCGCATACAGTCAGGCCAGGAACTAAACTCGTCCCTGGAGATTTGAGGTCACAGTCATACCCATTATTCTTATACGTTATTTCTCGAGTTGAGTAATATATTTAATCTGGCACAGTGTGATTTACATGTCACCGTGCCAACGTGTAATGAGCTGAAATTAGACTGAGTATGGCGTTGTGGGTGTGACCTTAGTACTGTTACTAATTTCCATTGCTGTATAAGAGGAAAATAAATTAACGATGTGTGTAGGCACCACTGCACAGCTAACCAGTCTTAAACCGTATTAAACCAAGGTGTATTTACACTGCATAACCTCTGAAAGCTTTTCTCCATCATTAACCACAGTACTCACTCAAAAATTTGAGTCTTCCTAAATTTAAGTCATATCTCAATCCAGGTCAATCAAGGTCACTTTTGTGGAATATGAAACAGTGAATCAGCTGCCTTTAATTCTGTGAGTAATTGTTTTCCTAAGCATATATTTTAAATAATCCAATAAAATATCCGCAGTCACAGATAGGCTAGATTCTTACACAGTTACACAGCTGGGGCTCATGGAGCAAGTGTTTCTTTAGTACTTTGGCTTTGGTTGTGAGTGAGATTTTATTATGCAAACGGCCTAAAAGTACGGCCATATTTCTCTAGTCGAGGCCAGAAGTGGACGTTTTCCTAGGCGCCGTTTCTTTTGGAGGGAGAACATAAGGTCGAGGAGTTTGAATAGTCCTACACAATGTTAGCCCACAAACAAACCTGTCAAAGTCATGATGTCACCATGCTGTCTGTCTGAAATGTGACATCATGTTGGCCCAGCTGAAGACTTTCATTTTGTAAATCTGGTTCTTTTCTGGTCGCTCTCCTCATATTCTCAGATCTTCATGTACATATATGTGGAGATCATGTTCAATGAATTGTATCAAATGTGAGAATTACCTTAGAGTAATAAATTCTACAGTAGAAAAAGATAGGAATTTAAAACACCTGTAACTTATAACCTATTCTGAAGAATCTTTATGCTGCTGTTGTGCATTTGCTTGAAGATTGACGTGTGTCAGTTAGTGTCTGCCCCCGATTTTAAGATCCGAGTGTGAATGTCCACAGAGAAGCTACAAATATGCTCAGTAAAAGCTTCCATGAAGCAGCTGGATTCGTTACTCTACTCTAACCCTCATACCCTTTGTACCATTATCTCAACTCTGCTCCTGCATCGTCTGAGTTAAATGTCCTGCAGGGAAAGCAGATCAGCCTTACAGATGCATTCAGCTGAACCTACTACTCTCTGCGAGGCTTTCTGGTCCAGCACAGTGGTTCAAAGCAGAGCTGACACAGAAAGATCAGCATTTCACTGTCCACCTGCCAAAATGCAATGCATTCGTTGTCTGTCATTTGAAGTGCATTGGGACAGTCTGCCACACTCCTAGTCGAGCACATGTACATGCACTATGTCTTAGGTTTGCGAGGACACAGTACTAACTTTGAATCAATTTTTTACTCATTTAATTAAAACAATTATTTTTTGTGTGACCAGTCACTTAAATCTAGGCTAATGGTAATATATGTGTATATGCTGATACATTTCTATATATAATTGTGCTATTTCCAGTAGTTCTTATATAATTATGTAATTATTTGCATGCATTTTAGATTGTAACATGTATTTCTAAGTGTATAATGAATGCAAAAAAAATAGTTTTGTTACATGTCCAGTTTTCTGAACGCTTAAAAGATGAAGTAATTACTTTTCATCATACTTATAGCTTTTCTGTACTATCTAGGACATAGAGAGATTCTCTTCCATCCAATAAAAAAATTCTCCTCACGGACCACCTGCTTGGAGGCGTTCCGAAGGTACTTATTCAGCGCCCGATAATTGATAATGACTAACTAATGTATGGGCAGTAAAGGGCTCCCCTGAACAGCACAGCTAATCACATCAAGCAGCATTCAGTTCAGCGTACAGCCAGCACCTAGAGTCAGCACTATCAGGCTCAGGACGGTCTGGGAGATATAAAACTCCAGGCCACAAACTTCAAAGTGCTTCTCCCTCAGAAGAGATGTGGGTCACTGAACTGCTTTAATGGTCTTGGTCATTCCCTCTCTGGGGATCACTTTGTGCAAGAAGCACTAGACAAGGAAATCTAAGTTATCAGCTAAGCGAAAACTAATTTAAGTCCTCTGCTGAGGGTCACAGTCATTTAAGTATCATCTGATTGCAAGTACTTAGTAGTGGTCACAGAGGGAGACATGCGGATGTTTTCTTAATACACTATAAAATCCTTATGCTAATACTTTCCTTTGTGCTCCTAATAAGAAAATCCGTCTTGTCAGGAGGTTAAAAGCATTTCCACAGCTAAAATTCAAAAAAGTGTCATTTCCCATGGCTACAGGAATATTTAAGCTTGTGGAACAAATCCATCCATCCATCTTCTAACTGCTTATTCTGGGCAGGGACACAGGGGTGGGGTGCAGGATTGGGGGGGGCGGGGGGTGCTGGAGCCTATCCCAGGCAACATAGGCTGGGATACATCCTGGGATGGGATGCTTGTGGAGCAAATAATATTATGAAGCAGGTTTCATCTGAATATGAGGCATTTTAAGGTCATGTTCATTGTTCAAGCCCAGACCAGTAGAAAATACTGTGTGACATACATATAATAAGTAATGTATATTGCTATAAATTTACATTTTTTCAATTTTTATTACCGAAAAAATATTAATGATAATATACACTCACTGAGCATGTTACTCGGACCTCTATACTAATACTGCATAGGGCCTCCCCTTTGCTCT